TTGTTGTTGGCGACCCCGGGGGATCCCTCTCCGCGCTGGGAATCCACTCGCGATCGGGTCGGTATTCGGGGGTTCTCCACTTAGGTCCGTGCTGGGTAGGATCCGGTCGGAAGTAGGGGGGCATGGGGGGGCGGGCGTCCACCTGTGCCCGGTGAGGGGCGCCGAGGAGACCCAGACTCGCTCCGGAAGGTCTCGGGGTCCCGCGGGGGGAAAGAGGGGGGGTCTCCTGGCCCTCCGCGATGTCTCCCGGCCCCCGGGGCGATGGCGCGGGTGTCCGCCGAGCCCCCCGCGGAACGTCCCCGTCCCCCGCCGGCCTCGATCGCCGCCCGCCTGAACGTGTTCCGAGTTTGGCCGGTGGCTGTATTCTGCTCACGCCCGTCCCCAGGTTCCTCCCTCGCTTACATGGTTGAGCGTGGGTCGCCTCGGGGGTGAAGAAGTCGGGGGTCCGCTCAGCCAGAGCGTGTGGTGTTTTTTTTTTTTAAATTGGAAATTGGGAGCTTTTTGTTATTGAACCCCGAGCCCAAGAAAGTTGGATCCGATTAGATGATATTGTGTGTGTGGGGGGGGGGGGTCGTTCGTACAATTAAACCCCAGCTGCTGCTTTTTATTTTTTAAACCAATGTTCAGAGCTTTAATCCATGATGGGATTTTTTTTTGGCCAAAGGCAAAACAAACAATGGTTTTTTTAAAAAAAAATTTAAAAACCCATTCATTGATTTTTAAGTCGGTGTGGGATACATTTATTTGGAAAGCAAAGGATGAATAGCGGAATGCAGAGAGGATGACCTTTAAATTTTGGCTGCGTTTTTATGGAAGATGTTCCTGCTTAATGATTTGTTCGTACTATTTATTGCTTGATCCATAAAATAATTCATTGAGTTTTATTAAGCCTCCAGTAAATTAAAGGAATTTTGGACATCTTGGGTCAGCATTTGGAATTACTTAATGAGTCTGACTATAAAATCAGGTACAAGCTGTGATCACATTCGTTTGTTTACGTTTAACAGGGAAATTTACAATAATAAATGAACTTTTCTCGGTAAAGAATTTGTGTCTTATCACATTGAATCCCATTAGGTAGTATGATCATGACCGGGTACATCTTAAAAATTAGCTTGATTGCCAGTGTTCTAATCTGGGACTCCCACATTTCATGGTTGTTGTTAAATCTGTTTTGGGGAGAAGGGTAGTGACATTACTCAAAGAACAGTGAAGGTAATTGTGTTATAACTTACAAAAGATAGAAAGTCCGTTGTACCTTTATTGCAGTATTACTTCAGATCCAGGAGGAAATGAACAGCACTCAGCCATATTTTGACCTCTCTTTTCTCCTACTCTAGTATTAATAAGGTTAATTGGCAAGGACAGGATTAGATTTTCAGCAGCCTAGGCAGTTTTAATTTTGTCCCTTGGTGTGCAATACTTTAGTTGATGTGTGGCTTATTTCCTTGAGTATCTTCGCCCATTTTGACATGTGTATGAAATAACTGACAAAAGAATTTATTTTCTGGGACAGACATGATCACTATAAGACAACATAGCAAATGAATGTTTTCAGATTCCCAATGAATGCAGCTGAATTAGGCAAGTGGTATATCGATTCCAAACTCTATCATTAATCAGTTTTCAAATCCAGACATGCTATCCCTACATTTAAGTCAGTTTCTTCATTTGTAATATAAGACTAATAAAATGGCTCACTATATAGAAAGGATAGTAGAAAGTGTACCAGCAAGTTACTCTGGTTAAGTGACATTTATTTTAGAGTGGTAATTGATCACTAACACTTTCTGCCATACTTGCACTGGTGCTAATATCCTCAGAACTACTGATGCCAAGAAGAGAGTTTGCTGATTTTTGTTATTTTATGGGCAGATTTTATTTGTAATCTAACCAAATATGTTTTCTTTTCAAACTTACTCCTGATTTTTCTACAAATAGTGGGACTTTTTCTCATACATTACAGTATTTTTCTCTCAAATCCAGCCCTTTGAATAGTGAGGAGAAATGATTTTATGATTATTACAGCTGAAATAAATAAAGCCTGGAAAAATTAATTACTTGAATTACCAAAGGATTATCAGTTGATTGGGCAATGGTGGCTCACGACTGTAATCCTAGCTCCTCAGGGGGCTGGAATCTGAGGATCATGGTTCAATGCCAGCCAGGACAGAAAAGTCAGTGAAAACCGTATCTCCAATAAACCACCAGAAAACCAGAAGTGGCACTATGGCTCAAATGATAGAACTCTAGCCATGAGTACAAAGAGGCTCAGGGGACAGTGCCTAGGCCCCAAGTTCAAGCTCCACAACCAACAACAAAAAAAAAGTAGTGAGACTAAAGCAAGATTCTTCTGATTTATAATTTTGAATTGTTTGCTTTTGGGCAGTATCTTCCAAACTCATATCTGTGCCCCATATATCTGTGCTCAAGAGATTGTGTCAGTGTAGGTGTGTAACACTGTAAAAGTACCTGCAGCTTTCAATAAAATGACTATTCTTGTACCCTCCACTCAGCTGAAGAATTAAAACTGCAAATCAAGCCTTTATACCATATGGAGTCTCTTAAATCCTATTTTCTCCCTATACATTATATAGTTACATTGTGGTTGTCTTAAAATACTTTAAATGTTTGTATCTTTCAGTAGTTTGCTTTTGTTACTCAATGGTGACAAGACTTAACTATTCAGGTAGCTCTAGTTTATTTTCATTGTGATATATTTATGTGCCCCATTATCTGACTATACCAGGTTTTTGTAGAAAATCTTAATAGCTTTTTATCAATTCTTTGTTATTAAACAGTGCTATCAGTAATCTCCATGTATAGTCATTTGCCATATGACTTTATGCTAACCTTGGACCACATATGCAATAGTAGCTTCCTAAGATTGTATCATCTAGTGATGCACTGCACTCACTAGGTATCTGAGTTTGTGGATGTGAATTCTAATAATCGCCAAACAGCACATTTTTTAAAATGTCTCTCTATTTGGGGTGGGGGGGAGAATAAGGGAAATGATGACATTAAGATGATAATCATGAATGTTCACAGTTTTTAAAAGAGCATGTTCCTAATTAAAATATCAGAGGTAAGTGTTGCATTAGGTGAAGGCTTGAGCTTAACTGTAGTCTCTTCACCAAATGTAACGGTAGACCAATAGCAGCAGAATCAGTTGGGAGCTTGTTAGGTAGGTAGAAGCTCAGGACCTACTCCACTGACTCAAATGCTGTAAGTTAATAAGATTCCCAGGTGAAAACTACAGCAGTACTCTAATGCTGATTGCAATGTTTGCTGTACATTGAATTCACCATTTAGGTATAAAAAATGACATTAGTGGTGAAAAATTATTTTTTAAAATAAACATTCAGTAAAGTTTAAGTAGGTGAAAATCTTCCATTTCTCTTTGGGTTTTTTTTTTTTTTGGTTGTTTTTAGTTTTTGATGGTTTTTTGGTTTGTTTTGAGTCAGAGTCTTGCTGTGTGGCCCATGATTTTCTGTTTGGGTTGTTTTTGCTGTGTGTGTGTGTGTGTGTGTGTGTGTGTGTGTGTTTCTCCCTGTTCCCCTCTATAATTGTCCAGCAAAGTAGCTAAAAATGTTAGAGAATGTGGGTCAACATTAACTTTATGCAGGAAGAGTGCCTGGTACCCCTAGCTTCTGATTTAGTAGTGCACCATTCATTATAACAATCCAGAAGCTGTCATTGAGAAACCTTGTACCCTG